TGCACTTTCCATTTTCAAGCCAAGCAGTCTTGAAATTCACTGGGTATCCTTTAAGGTAATTTCTTTGAAGAGATTTTTTACCTTTTTATTTTCCTTGTGAAACTTGTTTTGCGGAGGCTCGGAGCCCAGAATTTTGTCATTTCTTAACCTTTTGAATTAGTGCGTGTAATTTACAGAGAAGCAGATCTAAGTGAATAAAAGGGGCAGTTTTCTGGTGTTTATGATGTTTCATTCACAATGTTCACTGGGTGGTCAAATTCTGCCAAGTGATTAAATTGGAAAAGCTAAAGGGTTGTGGTTATGGGTTTAAACAATTAATGCTTGTCAACTATGTGAAGTTTTCTAAGATTGTCGTACTAATTTTGACAAAATGAGCAAATTTTTTTTTTTTTTTGACAAAATGTGACTTGGGTTGTTTATCAGGCCCAACTATTCCTCAGCTCAAAGAGAACTTACTGCTGTTGTAGGTAGTAATTTGCTGAAATCTCTCTTTCTGCCGTTTTCCTAGAATTTTTGTTGATTTGTTAAATGTTATAGCATTTTGTTGGTGCTAGCAATTCAATACAGCCTTTAATTTTTTTTAAATGAGACGTAATAATTTCATTTGTTATAATAGTGAAAATGTTTAGATTAGTAAATTCTTATATGAATGATCGACCTAATGCAACGAGTGAATTTGTTTCTCTTTTGGAATTCATTTGCTACTTTTTGGCGAAAGAAGATGAAAAATGTTCGTGTGACTTTTTCAATATCTCAGTACATCCACTTCCTTGTAAACTGAGCCTATTAAATCACTTGTGTGGCATAGTAGATGATAAGAAAAAGCATACGGGCTCTGCTTTTTCCTTTGCTTGGATGCCTTTTTCTAACTTCTTGCTTTCTGAATGTGTCTTGTCTCAATTCTTTTGCTACTTTTACATGCTTGGGAATGCTTTGCTTTTTGGATGTATGGATTAAAGAACCCTAGGTGTAACATTTACTTTGTGTGTTTGTATGTGGAATTTTTAAGTGCTTGTGTTTTAGTTTATCTATCTATTTCACAGTCCTTTTTGCCTTCCCAGGAAGGCCACTCTAGAACTCCATTATAATTAGTGGTTAGCTCATATGAAAGTTATGCTTCTGGTGATATCTCCGAATATGAAGTCTTCCTAATTGATCCTCATAAATTAACAATCGAGTCCTTCATGCCAACTATATGTTGATTGGTTGTAATTTTGGTTATAATGAAGATATACTATGTGCTCTTTGCTTGTGGATAGTTGTCTGCCTGCTATGTGAAGATTGTTGAATGGAATTTTAGCAAAACTATGGAAATGATGCAGGGTTTGTTCCATTTCCAACATTTGGTGCCCAAATTCCATCCGGCAAAACTTCTATTTGGTAGTCAAAAAACTTAAAGTGCTTAGTTTGTCATCTGGCTTCATTGTGTACTTCTTTCATATAATATGCCGAGGTTTATAAAGCTGACTTTTTTCACAGCAAGAAAGGTCCTTGCAATTTTTTAACTCGAACTATTGTTGACACTATTACCTTTTCCCTTTCAAATCATCTACCTAGTAAGTTATATGTGCTATTAAACCATACCATAAGCTTAAAAGTCCTTTAAACAAGTTTTTTTTTTTTTTTGCTGGATTTAAAGTAGTCTTGCTTTCCACTGACCAGCTGACTTGCTGCAGTAAGGCATGGAGGACGTTTTTATGTTCTTATGAGTACTCTGGTTGTTTTCATCGTATGCCATTATCATTTGGAAGTGTCTTAAGTGCTGGTTTCTGGTCCACTTATATTTTGCAGAGAGTTACTGATGTTTCAATGTTTCCTGTGATGTTGACAGGCCAGCAATACCTGCGCCATCTTCTCTCCCATAAATCTAGCAATCACCTGATGAAACTCTGCAACACCTATCTGCATTTTTTGCTCGTTGTCAATGTCATTCTTCTGCCTCTGGCACTTGGTGATTTGAAAGGTGATGAACAAGCCTTGCTTGATTTTGCAGATAGAGTTCCCCACCGTCGGAGGCTAAATTGGACTCTTAATAGGCCTATCTGCACATCTTGGGTTGGAATCAAATGTTATCCAGATGGCAATCGTGTGTTTGCTCTTCGGCTTCCTGGGGTTGGACTCAAAGGTCCTATCCCTAACAACACACTGGGAAAATTGGATGCACTGAGGATTCTCAGCCTCAGATCCAATCTCCTCAGTGGTAATCTACCCTCTGATATTTCTTCCCACCCCTCGCTTCAGCACCTCTTCCTTCAACATAATAATCTCTCCGGCGATATTCCAACTTCTTTCTCATCGCAACTCAATGTTTTGGATCTATCATTTAATTCCTTTACTGGGAAAATCCCGCTAACATTTCAGAATTTGACTCGACTCACTGGATTGAATCTGCAGAATAACTCGCTTTCTGGTACCATTCCTAATATCACCCTTCCGAGGCTCAAACATTTGAATCTGAGTTACAACCACCTTAATGGTTCCATACCACATGCCCTGCAAATTTTCCCCAATTCATCATTTTTAGGGAACCCTTTCTTATGTGGGGCGCCTCTGAGTCCTTGTCTTCCTCTTGTTCCTCCACCTTCTCCTACCCCCAATTTTTCTCCACCTCCCCCAAAAGGAAAACAAAGCTCCAAAAAGAAACTCCCTCTGGGAGCTATTATTGCTATTGCAGTTGGTGGTGCTCTAATCCTCTTTCTTATAGTGGTAATATTCCTTTTGTGTTGCCTTAAGAAAAGGCAAACTGATGGTGGCAGTGTACTAAAAGGAAAATCCTCCAGCGGTGGAAGGAGTGAGAAACCTAGAGAGGAGTTTGGTAGTGGAGTCCAAGAACCTGAAAAGAACAAGCTGGTTTTCTTTGAGGGATGCTCTTATAACTTTGATCTGGAGGATTTATTGAGGGCCTCGGCTGAAGTGCTGGGAAAAGGTAGTTTTGGGACTGCATATAAAGCTGTCTTGGAGGAGTCTACGACTGTGGTTGTTAAAAGGTTGAAAGAAGTAATTGTGGGGAAAAAGGACTTCGAACAGCAGATGGAAATTATTGGGAGAGTCGGACAGCATCCAAATGTAGTACCTCTACGTGCTTATTACTATTCCAAGGATGAAAAGCTTTTGGTCTATGATTACTTCTCAAATAGCAGCTTGTCAGCTTTGTTACATGGTATGTAGCTCTGTTGCTCCACTCTCTTGTTTCAGCTGCTCATTTAGTGACCCCAATTACTTGGGTTTTAAACCAAATAATTTACTTGCATAAAGTATAATAATCAGAATAGCATCCAACCAAGTCACAAAACAGGGCTGCCTGTTGGCTTGGAATGAAACATTTGCTTGAGGCAAGTAGAACAACTGATCAGAGCTAAAAGGCATATGGTCTTACCTGGTGCTTGAAAACAAGCTTCCTCTTAATACTTGACCACATAACTGGGTGATATAGTTTCCTTTGTTTTTGTGCTGTGCTTAAGTTGATTATGTATTTGAATGCAACAAAATCTGGAATTCCCTTCCAAAGTGGAACTTTACCACTGCCAACTCTAACTGAAGGTACCTGGACATTGGGGATCAGTAGAAGTGTCTCATAGTTCAGGTGTGAGCTGGATTTGAAGTGCATCTTCCTCTTTTTTCTTGTTGTGCACTCTCTCTTCCTTTTTTATCTAGATTAAGTATCAAGAGCAATAATGCACTCCTATTGACTTTAGCCGATATGTCTTGGTGGATTCTTAATATTTATCTGATAACAGGAAACAGGTCCTCTGGGAGAGCACCACTAGATTGGGAGACGAGAGTTAAGATATCCCTTGGAGCTGCTAGAGGCATTGCCCATATCCATTCTGTGGGAGGCCCAAAATTTACTCATGGAAATGTTAAATCTTCCAATGTCCTCCTCAATCAAGATCTTGATGGCTGTGTCTCTGATCTTGGCTTGGCCCCACTCATGAACTTTCCAGCCACTAGATCTCGGCAGGCAGGATATCGTGCACCAGAGGTTATGGAAACCAGAAAGCACACTCATAAATCAGATGTTTACAGCTTCGGCGTCTTGCTACTGGAGATGCTAACTGGAAAACAACCAATTCAGTCTCCAGGACGGGATGACATGGTTGATCTCCCAAGGTGGGTGCAATCAGTTGTCAGGGAGGAATGGACAGCCGAAGTTTTTGATGTCGAGTTGATGAGGTTCCAAAATATTGAAGAAGAAATGGTGCAGATGCTGCAAATAGCCATGGCATGTGTTGCCAAGGTGCCAGACATGCGACCAAACATGGATGAAGTAGTTAGGATGATTGAAGAGGTCCGGCAATCTGACTCGGAGAATCGGCCATCTTCAGAGGAGAACAAATCCAAGGACTCAACTGTGCAGACCCCCTGACTCCTTGGAGGCTCTCCTTGTTTATCTTTTTTGCGGTTTCCCATTTGTATTTTGAAAGGGGATTCAATATTTGATTCAATTCACGCGTGCCTGTTTCAGTACTCCATTCCTAACTGTGACCTTGCCCGCGCGTATAGCTCCTTAGAGTGTGAATTAATCTGATTGCTTCATTTCGACTTAGGGATGTAGTCCATTATTAGTTTTTTAAAAGATTGTACCTTTTCCCATTTCATGATTTGTTGTAAGGATTCTTTATCCGACTCATAAAGCTGATTTATGATTTTAAGCAGATTCGTGGTCTTTTTCTTCCGAGATTGAATTTGCCTTTTTTTTTTTTTTTTTTTTTGGGTTTTTGGGGGGCTGGGTGGGTAGTGGGGATGGGGGGCTTAATAAAAGTTTGTACTGGGAACTCTTTCCGCCAAGATTTCCGTAGATTGTTTGATATTCTGTGAGCAGATATACAAAGAATGTTTGCTAGCCGAGGTTGTTTGTTACTTTTGTTCAATTATTCTTCTTCTCAAACCTTTAATTTACTTAAAATAGCTGTGCGGTGATCCTATACGTTAGGAGAGAAAAAGGAACTCTGTTGCTGCGGACATAATCCCGATCCAATATCTCTGGTAAAACTATGAATGCTGAATTTCTCCCTCCGCGAAGGGAGTAGTCTTGGAGCTTGTTTCGCAATGGCGGGTTTGGCTGCTAATAATTCCAGAGGTGGTCAAGCCCAGCCATCGGGCAACCAACGCCCTCAAAGGAACCTGTCTCGCCGCGTTTCATTTAACGAGTCGACTCTCAAGCAATCTGAATCCCCTCGATCTTCTGTGATCGACGTCGAAGGTCAGAGAAACAATACGCCACCCCGCAACTCCGGCTGCAACATCTGCTGCGCATGGGCTTCCCTCATCGTAGGCATATTGGTCGTGATGTTTCTCATTGTTGGAGCCATATTCTTCTCCTTCTTCCAATCCAACATGCCAGAATTCCATTTCCAGAGGCTCCAGATTAACAGGCTTGATATTTCCACGACCAAAAGTTCTGATACTACATTCTTAACCACGGATATCCAAGTAGACCTGAACGCCACCAACAAGAATGGGATAATGCCGGTGTTTTATACCTCGTTGACTGCTGATTTGTCCTCTCAGGACATCGACTTAGGCAAGGTGCATCTTCCAGATATGGAACAGAAACCTCAGAATTCCGCACGGTTGAAGTTGCACTCTCAGCTTCAAAAGGAACCCGTCACAGAGGCTGATGCTAAGGACCTGATACAGAAATCCCAAAATCACCAAATTCTTATGAACGTGATCGTTGGAGGTGTTGTACATTATGTCATTAATGGACATAAGATGCCGGGCTTCCCTTTCAAAGTCCTCTGCGAGGACATCTATCAGGGGTTACTCGACAGTGGAGAAGTGCCCAAATGTCAGGTCAAAATGACCCCCGTCAGGTAACCCATTAGAGCTTGTATCTTTTCGTCTATTTTGGAGCTCATGGACTTATTTTTTCCAATTTGCGCAGTTGATGATGATGATGACTTGATCCTTTGCGAAGGCAAAAGATGCAAGAATTGGTGAGGCATTGGCTGTGTTGAATGTTTGTTTAGATGATTAGTATATTCCAGGAAGGGTTGGATTATCTTTTCTTGAGTAACACTTGTAGGCAGCCCTGCTCCCTTCTTTCCTCTCTGAGCTGTCGCCGGGTATAGTCTTCTTTTCTTTGGATATTTTTGATGGAGGCAGATCGAATGCATAACAAGAAAATTCTCCTAGTTTTTCTTCCTCTGCTCTGCAAATTTTGTTCTTTCTCTCTAGTTTTGGTAATCAAATGTTATATTAGCAATTAGGTAGCATGATGAGGCTAAAACAAATTGTAATACGAAACCCAAAAAACAAAACAAAAAAAAAAAGAGGAAAGGCGTTTTGTACCGATGCGTATTGGATTTCGGATTCTTACGGTAGATGTTATCCAATGCTGTGCAAAATCATCCGGCAACTTTTTCGTATATTACGGTTGAACTAGAAAAAATAAATAAGAGACTTATTACAAGTTTCTCTTTAGTGGGAGAAGGAAAAGTTTGGATGACATGAGAAAGACAGCGAGAGTGATTGATGTCGAATTCAAAGCCTTTCATTTATACGTATTTGAAACAAAAAAAAAAAACTCTGTACGACAGACATGTTTTAATAAAAAAAACTCCGTACAATAAACGAGTTAATAGCCAAATACAAAAGGACTAGGCTCCATTACGTTGGAAGAATTCCTCTGTGTTACATTCCAATAAAATTAATTTAAAAACTTCTTCTCTCCGTGTTATTCTCAGATAGTACAATTCTGTTTGCAACTGTCTTTGCTATTTTCTTCTTGTTTCTATGACGGTCCAAATTGGGGTTAACCTTTGACAGATACAATCACAGCTCAGTTTGAATCAGTTACAGCTTTTGCCAATCAGCTCCAGCGTATTCATTAGTCGCGGTCCAGTTTGTCCGCTAGACTAATCATCTTCAACTCTTTATATTCATTTTGACTAGAGTCCTCTCTGTCTCGTCTCGTCTCTGGGGTGTAATTGAATCGATTTGAGCTCGCCAAATCTAGAAGGATAAAAGGGAAATTTTTAACAATTGTGCTATCCAATCCCCTGATCTCGACTAGAGTTAAAAAACTTAGACTCAAATTCGAGTTCAAACTCGTCGATCTCTTAAAAGTTAAGCTCGAGCTCGATTTTATTTTGTATTACTTGACTTCGAACTCGAGCTCATGTTTATCGAGTCCAATTGAGTCCAATCGAGTCTAATCGAGATTAAGAAGTATCAATTTATATTTAATATAATTTTAAACAAAGGACAAAATAGATATATCATACTAATAAATAAAAAATTTTAAAAAAACATATATATTGAAGCTCGATTAAGTTCGATGAGCTTTCGAACTTCACATATTAAGTTCGAACTCCACTCATTCGTTAAGTAGCTTGAGTTGCTCGAACTCGGTCAATGCGAGCTCAAGGTCGAGTTTTGACCGAGCAAGTTGGCGAACTAATCGATTCGTTTGCATCCTAGTCCTCTATATCATTGGCAGAACTTCCCCGAATGCAAAAATCAAATCTGCCTTTTTCTATATTAAAAAAGAATAAAACCCCCTCAAATTTACGCCCTAGTGAAACTTATCAAACACCTGTATGTGTACTTAATACTGATATACTGATTATCGAGTACGGATCGCATTACAAATAAAACAATTACTCGTTGAACTCTACTTATCAAACAAATGAACAATAGTACACTAAATACAAGGGGATTATTTTGTATCGGAGAATGGGGACGAGGAGCTGAGGTAATACGCCTGTGCACATATTCAATAATCTAGCTTAAGAAATCCAATAATAGAGAAATATTCTGTTAAGAATCCCCTAATACGAGGAGCTAGACATTATTATGGGCAACATCTCTGTTCTGTTGTTACTCGGTTCAATTTGTCCTTTTACTATTTTGACTCGGACAATTACATTTTGGCTAAAAAACAAAAAAACCCTTATGGTAAATCTAATACACAGAAAAGTCCCCGTAATTTCAAAATATACAACACGACCCCTCATGTTTTGAACTAAATTGTAAATGTGACTGAATCTGTTAAATTTAACGGAAATGAACGAAATGACCAAAATGCCTTGATATAATTAAGCAAAAGACAATTCAAAAAAATTATTTGTTTTATTCTCTAAATAGAGAGAATTGAGGGTTAAGGGGTAGAATAGGTATATTTGATAAAAATTAGGTATAAATTTTTTTTTTAGATTTCAATAAGTCATTTCCGTTAAATTTAACGGATTCCGTTACCTTTACAATTTAGTTCAAAGCATGAGGTGTCGTATTGTATATTTTAAAATCGTAGAGGATTTTTCTGTGTATTAGGTTTACCACAGGGATTTTTTTGTTTTTTACCCTCACATTTTTAATAAAAGAAGAGAAGAAGAACCAGAATCCGGACAATAATGATAAAATGTTATTGCAGCGGTAAAACCTCGAAATCCAGCCGACTGCGGCAGGTAAAAGTCGCAGCAGCGAGTCTCCGGCACTCCTAAAGCGGTGAGAAGAAAGAATTGTACAAACCAATTGCAGGGGATGGGACTGGGGGGCGGCCCCTAGTCTCAATTAGTAGCAGTTGTTAGTTGTTGTCTTTCGGGGATTAGTGGTAACGTATAAAGGTAGAGAGGGTGCCGTTGATTGTACGCCAATTACGACTCCACCTCCAAAATTCTAGAATATCAAATTGGACCCCCTCTTCCCTTCCGGGCAGCCCTGCCCTCCTTTTTCTACTGCTAATTCCACATTTATTTATTTACTTTTTGTTTTATATTTATCTATTTTTAGGAGTGACGCTACTGTGATTAGCTAAAATTTTTTGTAATATATTATTTATCTTTCGACACCGTTGAGAATATATTCTAACCCTTTCCCTCAATCATCAATAATTCATTCAATATATCCTCTTTCTTCTGCTCTTCCTCTGCTTCTTCTTTATTCGTCTCTGCATTCTCCGTGTGTCCAAGTTCTTCCCCCCACCCTCCCCGCCGCAAGCTTCTCCTTCCTCAGGTTTCCTTTGTTCCTTCAATCTTTTGTTTAAGAACCCATGTTTTAGATTTTTATGTTGCGAGGGATGTGTTTAGATCTCGCAATTTGTTCATTCATTTGCCTCGACGGTCGTCCGGGGTTGACTGTCCTTTTCTGTTTTCTGATGGGGTCTTTGTTTGAATGGCCTTTGTATATATATATATTTAAGCCTTGAAAGAGTTTTATTTATGGATTTATTTATTTTGGGTCTTTGTTGTGCTTAATGAACTTTTATTTTTGCTGGCATAGGTTCTGATCTGAAGTTGGAAGTTAAGATTTAAGTGATGGCATCAAAACGGATATTGAAGGAGCTCAAGGATTTGCAGAAGGATCCTCCCACATCGTGTAGTGCTGGTACGTTTTATCCTTTTGTCTCTTCCTCTTTGTTCTCTTAGTAGTTTACCTGTTAGATGGATCAAGTATCTATTTATCTACTTATTACTTTTTCTGATTTTGTAATTTTGTTGGCAGTTGATATGTACGAGTTTCGACACTCGAATAAATAAAACTATCTGAATGCTACCTCATATGGCTGATTTGGGGGCTTTGGCTCTGACCAGCTGAATGCTACCTCATATAGCTGATTTGGGAGCTTTGCCTTGGTTAAAGATGTTTGTTTGTTTTGCTCTGCTTGGTCTTCAAAGTGTGCTTCAGATCCTGCCTAGCTTCTTTCGTACTTATCTGATTAGAGCGTTCCTTGAGGTTTTTTTCAGTAGTATGGCCGGTTAAATTTGTTGATGGGGTCTTACATAATGACCACAGAGTGCAATTATCTAAATGATGTCTAATTAGACTGTTGGAAGATAAAATAGTCTTCAAAATTTGATTTACTGTCTGATCAATTCAATCAATACTCCCGGCAAAGTTTAGTCTTTGTGTGCATTGTATAGACTCTTTTAAGTTATGACATGCCCGAATTTGAGTGGTGTGATGATGCCCTGATGCGTGTGTGACTATTTGATGTACTTTCCTTTTGGACAAGTTGTTGAATATATTCAAACCATTCCAATTATGTTTCTGATTTTATTTATACTAAATTTCATGTCAAAGAGGAGGAATTTTTGACATTGGCATACTCTCATCTGTAAAGGAATGGTTTTTAAGCTTTTTTCAGACTGTTATTTATGTTTATGTGGCCAAAGCTGTCTCGTGTTAAATTATAATTTCTCGTGAAATTATCTGAACTCTGGCTCCAAAGTATTAGTACTTGTTTGCCTCTTTTGCCCTTGTTGGACTTTTCTTGTTTTGATTTATAGATCCACTATGATTTTGTTCCGATGCATCATTTGTATGTTATCACTTATCGTTTCTACGGATGATGCATTTGCTGGCATATATATCATCAAAATTGTAGGGTAGGGTGGTCAGAGTTAACAAATGTTTCTATCAAGATTTGGAATATTTTTAATTGTCATCACTATTGACGTTTGTTTTTCATTTTATTGAGCCAAACTATTAATCTCACTATTGGTGCTGCACTAATGCAGGTCCAGTGGCTGAAGATATGTTCCATTGGCAAGCAACTATTATGGGACCTGCTGATAGTCCTTACGCAGGTGGTGTTTTTTTAGTTTCTATTCACTTTCCCCCGGATTACCCATTTAAGCCCCCAAAGGTATGATGATGGGTCCTTTATTATATTCCACTGATATCTTATGATATAGAGCACTTACTGATTTAAGTGTATTTGGAAGAAGTATTCACTGTTGAATGCACAATTGGTCCCCTGCCCAAATTAAAAAGAAACAAAGGGAAAATAATGATTCAGAATTCATCACTTTGGGGATCTTGGCAGTGTCTGATGTGAGTGGAACAGCCAAGTAGGACTGCCTGTCAAACATCACTGATGTCAAATCATAAGCTTTTATGAGAGATAGAACTGTCACCCTCCTATACCTAAATGTCTTTCTTTTCTTTTTAGATATTAGCTGAGGTGGGGATGTATCATAACTGCATAACTTTAGGGAATTTATTTTTCTTCCCCTACTTGAAATGTATAGGGTGCTTAGAGACATGTCTCACTAGCTTTCATCAATGACCGACCTTGTAGTGGGCTGATATTTTCAATGATTGAAAATTGTTTATTGCTTGTTCATGGGCCTTATTTTTAGTCAAGGTTGGTGGTTTGTTAAGTTTTCACTCCATGATCACAGTTACGGAC